TGCAATCAATGAAGAACTTGCAGCTTTGAATGCCAATCAAACATGGGAAATCGTGCCATTGCCACCAGATAAACATGTTGTAGGGAGCAAGTGGGTTTTTAAACTCAAACTGAAGCCTGATGGGACTATAGAAAGGTACAAGGCCAGGCTAGTTGCTAAGGGCTTCACACAGGTGTATGGAATAGATTTCCTAGACACATATTCACATGTTGCAAAGATAAACTCTGTGAAAGCTCTATTAGCAATAACAACAGTGAAGAATTGGTCTCTTGAGCAATTGGATGTTTCCAATGCTTTCCTACATGGGGATTTAACTGAAGAAGTATACATGGAGATACCTCTGGGAGTTGAAATACCAGGATCCAGCAGCACAAGAATGGCTTGCAGACTGAAGAAGTCATTGTATGGCCTAAAACAGGCCTCAAGATAGTGGTTTTCAAAGTTAACAGGCTTCTTGTTGAAGAATGGATTTTCACAGTCAAAATCTGATTACTCATTGTTCACCAAGTGGGTTAATGACAGAATTGTGATAGTCTTAGTCTATGTGGATGAAATTATAGTTGCAGGAGATGCACAGAAGGACATTGATCAAATTAAAAGATCATTGTGTGGAGAGTTCAAAGTAAAATTGCTTGGACCCTTGAAGTATTTCCTTGGACTCGAGGTGACAAGAGCTGCAGAAGGGTTGGCAGTATGTCAGAGGATGTATTGCATGGAGCTGTTGAATGATATTGGGTTTTTGGAAGCTAAGGGTTATTTATCTCCTTCTGATCCTAAGCTGAAGCTTGCAGTTGGACAAGGAAGTAGAATGGAAGACCCTGAGATGTATAGAAGGCTAGTAGGGAGATTACACTACATCACTATTACTAGGCCTGATCTTACATTCTCAGTACAACAACTGTGCCAATTCCAAAAAGATCCTTACAGTGATCACTTGCAGACAGTTCACAGGGTACTCAGATACCTCAAGACATCACCAGGACAAGGGATTTATTTCAGCAGCCAAGCATAATTGATACTAACAGGCTTCTGTGACTCTGACTGGGCAAGTTGCCCTGACACCAGAAGGTCAACCACAGGCTACTGCACTTTCATTGGAAGGTCATTACTCACATGGAAGTCTAAGAAGCAAACCACAGTCTCTAGATCTTCATTAGACGCTGAATATAGAGCACTTGTTCTACTGGTTTGTGAAATTGAATGGCTGAGGAGATTGTTGGTTGAGTTAAGTGTGAAAATACCATTGCCTCTGACTATTTATTGTGACAACAAGTATGCAATCCATATTGCTGAAAATCCGGTGTTCCATGAAAGGACAAAGCATATCGAGATAGATATGGATGTTACCAGGGAGAAAATCAATGATGGTTTGGTGCATCTGTAACATGTCAGTACAGCCAATCAATTGGCTAATATCTTCACCAAAAGTTTACACAAGGTTCGCGTCCAGGAGTTGCTTGGCAAGTTGGGCGTCTTGACTGAAGCCACAACTTGAAGGGGGGTCTCAACCAAGTAGAAAAGATGAAGATGCAGATGCAGGAAGAAGAAGAAGTCCTGGTGTGCTCTGGATTCAATCGAAGGAGAAGAATGAGAAACGTTTCAAGCTGAGAGTTTCGTTTATATTGCTGCATTTAAATTAAACGCTGTCGTTCCGCTTTGGCTATTAGCCGTTGTTAAACAGTACTTTGAGTTTGTAATTGCCAATGACATTCTGCCATGTGGCTGACGTTGGAGTGTTTCTCATTAACAGAACACTGAGCTATATATAGCAAATGCAGAGCAACCCTTCATTTTGAGGGTTTGCCAATTCTCCAAACCTAGAACTTGTTAAGCGGAGATATCAAAGAGAGTTTCAAAAAGGATTCAAATTATTATTATTATTCCAGTTTGTCCCTCATCTCATCTCTCTGCCTTTCTAGCTCTGCTCTGCTCTGCTCTGGTGCCTTCATTTTCCTCCTGATGAGTAGGAAGCTGGGGCCAGCAGTAAGCAAAACCGGGACCCACTCACTTGGTCGTTTTCTGATCTCTAACGGGTTCGAGTTGAGGTTCGGGTGGTTGGGGATTCAAATCGGGAGCAAGTGGTGTAAATTTGTAACCCTACCCTACCAACTAGAAATTTGATTGAGATGAAGCAGCCCGCCTTTTTCAATAAAATATCTTTCAAAGTTCAATCCTTCTGCCGTCAAATCAAAATCATTTACATTAAGGATCATTTCTAAGTTGTGTAGTTAACTTCAACCTGTTTAGGGGCGGACCACAATTTGAACCATCTCGTCAGTGGCGGATCCAGGGGGTGGCCACCCCGGGCCACGACACAGCCCTTCTCTGGATCCGAAGTTAGTATAGCCCTTATAAATTTTTCGATTTTAGACATTCGGCCTAGTGTATTTTATTATTATAAGATTGTGTGTAACTAGAAAAATGGTTTAGATGAATATATTCAAATCACTACTCTAAATTTAACATAGAAATTCTATCTTCAATGATTTTGGTAAAAAAAACATTGAAACCTAAAATTCTAAAAGTTTAAAACGTAAAAGACTAAAAGAAATATCGAGTTTGTTCCCTTGAAAAATTACTAGAGCGGCTAGTGGAAATAGGGATGGACACACAATATAAATTAATTAGTTGATTGATTTGTCTAGTGTTGATGTTGCCCGTTTCAACAGCTACTATGGAGAGAACATTTTCAACGATGAAACATGAGAAAACTAATTTGTGCAACAATTGCGAGATGAATTTATTGCTGGTTGCTTAACTATTTTATTTGAAAGAGAGTGTATTATTAGTATGGACATAGACTCCATTATTGACGAATTTGCTAAATTTAAAACTGTCGTGTACAATTGACATTGTAAAAAAACTACGGTTGTTATATTTTTGTACGGTTTCTAATTTTCTATTGAAATGCAGCCTAGTGCTCTACTATATCCTGGATCCGCCGCTGGCGCTCGTAGTTATTATCCGACAAGATACGTGATGACTGATGTGGTGGGTATTACTCGACCAGCACTAGCGGGGGGGGGGGGGGGGGGGGGGGGGGGATGGGTATTTACTTCCGTCATGCCCTGCTTTGCCCTGTTCTTGACTCATTTTATCTCAATTTCTCATAGTATCTATTCACGTTTCTCCTATTTTGACTTTTCGTCGACTAGTTAGACTAGTTCAACTTCTTTCAACTAGCTAGATGGACTCAATTACCCATCATATTATAACTATTTTTCATTCATAAACTGTTTTCCCCTTCGCTTTATCGTAAAAAGTAAAATTTTGCGTGATTTTTTCCAAATAACATGTAAGAGTCGGTCGACCTGCCTCACCTCATACCCGCGCGAGTATTACTCGACCCGACCAGCGGTAACGTGAGGCGAGGCATGGTTATTGAAATAGCCGCCCCGCCCCGGCCCCCATTGCCATCACTAGGCGGACCTACGGCTAGGGAAGGGGTGTCGTCCGACACCCATTCACTTGAAAATTTTGTGAAGGACCTCTATTTTACGGTACACAAAATTTTAAATTGTGACTTTCGACACCGCTCTATTAATTATAATCGACACACCTTTATTATACGATAATAATTTTATTGTTATAAATTTATCCATCATAATTAGTAATTAACAATAATAAGTAAAATCAAATAAACATGCTTGTTTTAAAGTAACCCAGAACCCAATTTCCCCCTAATTTAACTAGTCAATTTGTAGTTAATAGGTGAATTGAGTAGATTTATGATAAATTATGGTTTGATTTTCGTTAATTTGGTAGAACTAGAGAAAAATGCTAATGACATAACTTTACGCATACCTTGTTTTGTCTAAAATTGCCAATTGGTAGATTGTGGTTTACTACATTTAATTGTAAACTAATTAATTTTAACCTTGATTTTAGATGTGGGTCGATTCTCTTTGACTTAGTGACTAATTTATGAATGATTATGTAGTTGTGTCATAGAAAATGTTTGATTTGCAACATAAGTGATGAATGTACTTCGAAAAAAAAATTATGATATGAAAAATTTGCATGCTTCGTAGTGAACTTATGAATGAATTTCTAGTAATTTCTAAATAATTTTTATCGGCAACACCCATCTTCGACAATACTGGGTCATCCACTTACCTATTGGACGTCGCAAACAATATCATTGTCTCTGAGAATTCCTTATTGCCCCGTTCGCTTGTTATCTCGTTTTTTGTTTTTCATTGTCGCAACATAAATCAGTAAACATAAATGAAAAAAACATGTTCATTAATGATTCCATTTTCATTTGAAAAAACTATTTAACCACTTATAGATAGTTGTGGGGAAACAAGAAATACGAGTTTTCTAAAAATAATGAAAAGATTTTCCCCCATTTCCTCCACTGTAGTTAAATGAGTCAGCATTTCGAATTCCTTGGCTAGCCTTTTTTAATGATGATTGGTAATTGTCGCCCTAACTTATACTATAATGCCCTAACATAAAAATTAAAATTACTTAGTGTTAATACTCTTTTGCTAGAACAAACCATATCCATTCAGCAATTGAAATGATACAAAAGTTAAGCAACGAATTACCGAAAGTGAACTCAAAGCAACTAATTGAGATTTGGAAAAATAATCAGGCTGTACAATATGAATTTCGGTTACTTCCTTTAACAGCCACCACTTATCTCGGCAACCATTAACAGCCACCACTTCTTTTAGAACCCCTCGACGATTATACAAGAACGAGGCCCATCGAGCCTGCTCCTACAGTCGCTATCTATGAAAATCCCCTCCATCTACTGATCCTGCTCGTTGGGAGCCTTCTCATAAGCCCTTGCAAGAGTCAGAATACTGGCTCTGCACCTACCAGTCACTACAAAGAAACAAACTTATGGGAGCAATTTACTAACAGGAGTTCCTATAACCCTTGCCGCACAAATGACATTTTCATACAACAACGATTATATTCAGCGGTTAAAAGAACCCTTGCTGATTTTGGGATTAAATAAAAATAAGTAAATAACATTCCAATAAACGCCAAAAACCTGCTCGTCTCTCTCTCATCTAAAGTAGTGAGAATCCTGTCTCCTTCACTGCTTTTTTCTCCCAAAAACAAATCCCTAACCCTAACAACCAAGCCTCAACTCTTTGCCGCATTCTTCGATTTCTTCACCGGCTGTGGCGGTCCCTTCGCCCTTTGCGATCATCAGATGTGGTGCCACATCCGAGAATGGGGCAATTTTCGCCATCGATTCAATTCATACGACATTTCCTTTAATGTTCGAATCAACTATTTTCTCCTGCTTCGACTCAATTTATTTGCTGTATGTCGCGACTCTGTCCTTTAACCCTTGCCACTCTCGCTTTCTCAGGCTGTCCGTATTCTGGGCATGGATAACTACCCAGGGGAGGATCGACGTGTCGGAGGAGTATCTGAGGTCGACGATCAATTACGTGGAGATGGATCGGCCTATGAGGCTGGAGTTCGGTAGGAAGCTGACGATTACGCAGTGGACGAGGTTTCCGATCTACGAGACGGCGGATTTCTGGTGGGGACGGCCGTTGTACATCGGGCCGATTGACCTGACGCCGACGCCGCGGGTGTGTGTTTTGCTGCCGGAAGGCGAGCCTGGCAAGAGGGTGATTTGCATCTACTTGTCGGAGTTTGCCACCGGGAAGTTCAGGGAGCTGTTGCGTTCTGGTGTTGGTGATCGGTGGTTGTCGGCGGGTGGTGGCGCGGAAGGTGTTTGAGGAAATATCTGGCTGGGGAGAGTGGTGGTAGTTGAAGTGTGAGATTGGTATGGGACTGGTAGAGAAGGGAAGTGAGATATTTGAAGGGTCAAACAATCTGAACTGTTAATATCATCTGTTTACCATGAGAATCTTATAGTTGGTAGTTTGAAGTGTGTAAACAACTAGCATGATGAATGATTAAAAGTATTTTTTGGTGCAGGGGACTTCTTTGATCTCATTTGGGTGAGGAGTTGTGATTTGTGAGAGAGCATTGTTCTCAGAATTGAGTTTTCTTCCTGTTCGGAAGATGGTTCTTTTTGAAGCCTTACGATCTTGCTTTGAGCGGTTTCATATATCAATTTCTATTTATTTCTCTTGTTTTGTGCTTCCGGTGTATTTTCTTCTTCTTTGAAACAGGTAAAGATGGCATGGTGTACATAATGTGGATGATTTAGAAGAACCAAAGCTATATTATGGATCTTGTTGGAACCTATTGATATTGAGTTTCAATAAGTACGATTTTGTTGAATTTCTTTGTGAGTAATGTATAATATCAGTTTTAAAGGTTTATGTGAAAATAGATCTACAGCACAGGTGAAAATATCTGCGTCTGCTTTTAACTTTTAGCGTCGATTTTTCTGTCATTAAATATGTTGTTTCCCAAGCTTCGAAAATGCGGCTGAAATTTGGGGGAAAAAAATTTAGCAACAGGGGTTTTAACCGTCGCAAAATCCCTGCAATTTCTTATCCGACCGTGGCCAAAAATGTTAATGGCAGCCAATAGCCTCCGCTGCAAAACATTCACCAGCGGTTCACCTCACCCCTGCCATATATTTGCGGCGGTTATGCTGCGGTCGCAAAAACCGCTGCCGGAACTGTTAGCGACGGTTTTCCCGTTGCTAAAGAAACCAAGGTGAGACGCTTTGTTCAGATCGCCTTGATCGGTTGTTGTAGAGAAGGATACGTCCCTCTAGGGAATTGACTCAAGAGGGCCTTGATCCTTTAGTCGAGATTCAAGGTCTAGTCAAGGATTCTCCGCATTGTGAATGAAAGTGAAACAAGTTAAAGATCATCAATCATTAATCTGGCTAGTGGCTAGGGGGAATCATACCTAAGTGAGTTCCCAGCCTGTAATTAGATTAACTTTAACTGTAGTTTGTTAGAATAGTTTTAGTTCTTCCATCTTAATCTGGTTTGCTAGATAATGAACTGAAGCTGAGTAATAGTAACTCTAGAGACTAGTGGATTCGATATTTATTACTTGAGGCACTATACTGCAATCCCTTTCATTGGTTACACTTGGCCATTGTTCGGAGTTGTGTCATAGCGAGTCAATAGTGTTTGAGTTCTGGCCCATAGTAGCTTTCAAATGGGAGAGTGGGTTCATTGGAAGCGCTATTGGTTGTGTCCTCTGAAGTTGTTGTTGATGATGTTGTTGAAGTAAAGCATTTGTTCCTGTTGTTGAGCGTCAAGTTGCTGCTGCGTCAATAGAGCACCATAGATTGATAGTATTGGATCGATTGCTTTAGTCAAGGGTTGATTCAATACTTTGTATTGATTGAGAACCTCATTCGATAGAGGGAATCTAGTTCAGAACACCTTGATCGGTTGTTCTAGAGAAGGATACGTCCCTCTAGGCAATTGACTCAAGAGGGCCTTGATCCTTTAGTAGAGATTCAAGGTTTAGTCAAGGATTCTCCGCATTGTGAATGAAAGTGAAACAAGTTAAAGATCATCAATCATTAATCTTGCTAGTGGCTAGGGGGAATCATACCTAAGTGAGTTCCCAACCTGTAATTAGATTAACTTTAACTGTAGTTTGTTAGAATAGTTTTAGTTCTTCCATCTTAATCTGGTTTGCTAGATAATGAACTGAAGCTGAGTAATAGTAACTCTAGAGACCCGTGGATTCGATATTTATTACTTGAGCCACTATACTGCAGTCCTTTTGATTGGTTACACTTGGCCATTGTTAGGAGTTGTGTCATAGCGAGTCAAGTTTTTGGTGCCGTTGCCGGGGACTATCTTGATTATTAGGAAAGGCCGAAGTTTGTTACTTTAGCGTTTTTCTTTTCCACCCTTGCTTTTCACTTGGGTGTTTTTGTTTTTTTTGGTGCAGATCTGAATCATGGATCCTCATGGTTTCTCCAACCATTGGGGGTATCCACCACCATCCGAGTGGTATTACCCCGAGACTCCCTAGAGCAATCAAGGAGGAGAAGACTATGGATTCGGGTTCCAGTACCAACCCCCTTACTACGGAGGACAATCAGACCCTTGGGCATATCAAGAACAACCTCCTTATCAAGAAGATTTCTCCCACAACCAGAAGGGCCATCGGAGCTGGAGTTATCCATGGCGGCCTTCACAGGCCATTCTATAGAGCCATGCTACACTCCACAGCCAGATCCAAACTATGAATTGAGGCTTCTCATAGAGCAGTTTGCTCGAGACAGTTAGAGATCATGCTCCAGGATGGATCTTTGTACCTAGGCCTATCGTGAAACAGAGGAGATCCTCCTGAGCATTAAGAAGAGCCTCGATGATCTTGAGCAATCTTATGCACAACCTGCTCAAGATCACCCTTCTATTACCATCCTAGAAGAGGAGAAGGAAGAAGGCTACAGGAACATTGTGGAGCACACATAAGTTTTCACGGAGAGCTCCCGTGATGATCATGATCAGGAATGTCCTGTCGTAGCCGACCACACCTTCCCACATCCCACACTGAGCTTTGAAGAGGCGAGCATGAGTGAGGAAAAAGAAGAGCAAGAAAGGGTGCAGAAAGAAGTTGTGGAGGATGACGAAAGTGAAGCAGATGGAGTTCTTGATCATTTCCCAAGGGCGATACCACATGTAGAAGGAAGGGGGGTTTAAGAAGCAAATAGCGTCCAGGCCAAGGACGAAGTTGAGGTGGAATCGGCTTGCACCGACCTTATTTTGCAAGTAATATCCCCACCAAACTTCGAAGAACTACTTAACAAGGACCCATTTGCATTGTCTCTTTGCCATACCAAGGCCACATCGACATCGGTCCCTCTTGGTGGACGCGATGGTGGTCAATCGATGTTGTCATATCTGGTTTGGGGCAATGAGACGAGAGAAGAGAAGAAGAGGTCTCGAGGGTGGAGACTTCATCTACATCAAGTGCACGAGCTTCCATCACCTGTCATACCACATGCTCGTGACTTGAGACTCCACCTCATTGACGAGAACCTCAACTTCAAGGAGGTTCTGGGGTGGACCGAAACTTAGGAGCCATCGTCCCGCTCACGACATGAAAGAAGCGCTTGTTGGGAGGCAACTCAACCAGTCGGTTTGCATTTCTTTCTCGTTTTCTCCTCGGTTGAGTCAATTTTGTTATTTGATTTTAGTGTCAATAACTCAACCTTTGTGAGATTTTGTGTGGTGTTTGTGTTCCGACTACTCTCTCCTCCTGGAATGTACCGCCTGCCCCGTTCACCGTCATTCACCCTTGATCTGGTAACTTCGTTCTACCCTCCTTATCTTTCCTCCATTGAGGACAATGTCATGCTTAAGTGTGGGGGGATGTTCGATTATGTATGTGGGTGAATGTTTGGCTGTTTGTGTGCTTGGAGCCTAGTCCACTGTCCACATTTTTAAATTTGAGGGCTCCAAGTACGTGTTTCCTTGCCAATTGCCTTCTCAGTATGCTTTGAATTGACAGTCTCTATAGTAATGTGCAACCTAGGGAGGTAGTGTAGCACTATGGAGGATGTTGAAGTATAAGATTTTTCCTATCTAGCTCTCTACTGTGCCGGTTGATTTTGTGAATTAGTGGAGCTAATACCGTTGAGTTCATGTGGTAATGGTGACTCTGATTGGATTGTGTTATGGACTCGTGCATCGAACAAGGTGCTCATGTGGGAAATGAAAAGGTGTTGTCCTCCATTGAGCAGAAGGGGGCCCGGGCATTGAGCTTAAATCTCCGATCGGGTATTCTTGACCTTGATCGGGGATTAATCTCCTGTCCAAGAGGTGCGTTTCAAGAATCCCCGGCCGCCACCTAAAATACTCGACCAGGGATTATGACCTGGGATCGCGAATGCAGGCTGTTAAAAGCCTGTTTTGTGCGTTTTTGCAAGGGGAGAGCTGGGTTTTGGATCCCAAACACCCAAGGGACGAACCAAAGAGAGAGAGGGCGATTTGAGGGCATTTTTGGAGTGAAATTGGAGGATTTCTTTGCCTTGGAAGCTCGAGGAACAAGCCCGGACTTGAAGATCATTTGAAGATTCTTACTGCAGTCTCTCTCTTCTCTAGGGAGTAACTTCCCTTCATTTAGGATTTGAGGAACCCTAGCTATGTTTGTTTGATTGGATGATTGTATGAGTACTCTTACTTGATAATCTTGAGTTCATATTCAATCTATGCATGTTTTCATGATTCATTATGCTTTAGTCGAGATTATTGATTCTGCTTTGATCCTATGAGAGCGAATACCTGATTAGTTCAATAGAGCACCATAGATTGATAGTATTGGATCGATTGCTTTAGTCAAGGGTTGATTCAATACTTTGTATCGATTGAGAACCTCATTCGATAGAGGGAATCTAGTTCAGAACACCTTGATCGGTTGTTCTAGAGAAGGATACGTCCCTCTAGGCAATTGACTCAAGAGGGCCTTGATCCTTTAGTAGAGATTCAAGGTTTAGTCAAGGATTCTCCGCATTGTGAATGAAAGTGAAACAAGTTAAAGATCATCAATCATTAATCTTGCTAGTGGCTAGGGGGAATCATACCTAAGTGAGTTCCCAACCTGTAATTAGATTAACTTTAACTGTAGTTTGTTAGAATAGTTTTAGTTCTTCCATCTTAATCTGGTTTGCTAGATAATGAACTGAAGCTGAGTAATAGTAACTCTAGAGACCAGTGGATTCGATATTTATTACTTGAGGCACTATACTGCA